TATCACCAGAATCAATCCGCATTCTGAATTTTCTCAGTGACAGCCTGCCCAGCCTTTTACCGTAGAGCGTTGGGCTTGAAGTTCTCCAAGACCCAGCCCTGGGAAAAGCCATAGCCATCGAGTCTCTTCCATGTCACGGCAAATAAAGAAGGCTCTTTGGATATAAACTGTGTCCATCTCATATAGGCAAAGTGATCTGTCAGGGTCAGCAGCAGCACACAGAATGTATATCCAAGGACACCTGGAGAGGCATGAGACACAGCCGTGATTAACCTGCCCAGTGCGCCCATCTAAGGATGGACCAGAAGAACCCACCAAGGGAGGCCCTCCTCATGTCACTCCCAAGGCAGCTGAATGGAGCCAAGCCCACAAAGGCTAACCTGGGTGGCATCAGGCCTAGGAATGACACTAAAGGACAGCAGGCATATCTTGATCTACCTGGTCTGTGGTATTGACCTTCTCAAGCCAAGGATGCTTTCTGAAATATCAAGCACTTAGCAACTTCCTGACCAGTCCTACACTGGGACAATGTGAGAAGTGTCCTCTCTCTCTCTTGACACTCGATTGACCTTCTGCACATCCTGGAATTTTAAATGCCTTCCCATTTTTAAAAAACGTCTTTTAACTACTTCCATTTTCCTCCCCTCTTTTGGTGCTGAGTCATAACGTCTGTAGCACACTTAACACCAGTCTTGGCATATAGAAAGTGCTCAGTGTATATTAGCTTTTGTTGACATTGGCCTCATCAGCGTCACCATTATAACTAGTATCATTTCACCAGCAGGTAAGGAAACTTAGTTTCCTAAACCTGAAACCCTGTGTACCTCAGCCATCTCCATCCTGACATAAATGAAGATGGACCACACAGACATGACCCACTGTGTCAGAAACAAGGGGCAAGTCAGCAAGATCCCCAGCTGACTCGTGCATGTTCATGTTTGGGGAGCACTGCTCTAGGTGCTGTGGTGAAGCCCAGAGACAGACTTGCATAGATATGGGTCCTTGCGGTTTGCTAGCTATGAGGTGCTCTGGGACAGTCTTAGAGGGTGGGGGCTGAGGGTGTGCCTTTGACGTTATCCTGGGGGGATGTATGATGAAATCACTAGGAATCTGATTCTGAAGGCTATTGTCCCCTGCCTGTGACTTTAACTTCCGCATAACACCTGGTCCCTTTCCACCCTCCCCACTACCCACTGACCTTCTGGCCATGCAAACCTTGTTGCCAAGAAAGGACATTTCTATGTGAGAGGACAGAAAACCTGTGTGCATCTGGGAACTGATACACATAATGTAGGATGTTAGTGGTGGTACATGTATCAATGTACAAATGAGAAGCACACTATTCTAAGTGAAGATTTGAGGACCCTGGTAGGCAATGAGAAGGGAGGTGTAACTGAACCTTCTTTAACGTTGGGGACCAAGATTATTGCCTGCTCTTAAGGAAACATTTTGAAAGACGGAAATAACCAATCCCATGCAGTCATGGTGACTTGTTATCTGGACTGGCAGCTACTAGGATGGTGAGGAGAAAATGGTCACAAGTATCTTAGAAATGAAATCCTAGCTTCATACCAAATTAATTTAGTTTAGAAAGTGAATTAACTAAAAGCATTTTCTGCCCTTCAAAGCTCTTGCTTTGGTCTAGCATTTTGTTAATTTATGACTGGTGATTTTTTCCCATTCTGTAAAGTATATTCAGGTGGCCTGTGCCCTGGACTTAGTGGCCTCGGGTTCCTCGGACAGCACAAGACTTGGCAGTGCAGCTATAGATCTCAGTAGTTCCTGAAATGGCCCGCTCCTTTTCTTCCTCCTCTTCCTGCCCCTGTTAGCGAACTTAGCTTGGCGTTCTGGATCCCAGTCTATACTCTTCCGTTCATCCAGATGAGTTGTTGCCATGGTGGGTTGAATGGTGGCATCCCAAAAGATATGTCCATTCACCCCAAAAGCTGTGAATGTGACCTTATTTGAAAAAAGGGTCTTTGTAGATATAAATTAGTTAAGGATCTCGAGATGAGTTCATTCTGGATGATGGGGAGGGCCCTAAATCCAAAGACATGTGTCCTTAGAAGAGACACACAGGAGAGAAGGCCACGTGAAGATGAGGCAAAGACTGGGGTGATGCAACCACAAGCTGAAGAAGGCCTGGGTCCACCAGCAGCTGGCAGGAGCAAGGCAGGACTGTCCCCTAGAACTTTCAGAGGCAGGACTGTCCCCTAGAGCCTTCAGAGGGAACATAGCCCTGCCAACACCGTGATTTTGGACTTCTGGCCTCCAGAACTGTGAGAGAATAAATTTCTGTTGTTTTGAGTCACCAAGTTTGTGACAATGTGTTACGACAGTCCTAGGAAACTGATACAGTGTCCAGATCTAGCCTGGGAAGTTGTTTTAAAAATCAGTGTCTGGGCTCTTACCCCCTAGCTTTTCTGATTCAGTCAGCCTGAGGTGGCACCAAGAAACTCAATGTTAAGTGTGGGCCTCCAGGTGGTTCAGGTACATCCATCACCCTTCAGTGTTGCTAGTCCTCAAGCTCCTTCTTTGACCCTACTTCCTTTTCAGCCACTTTTACTTTCCTTAGGCAATATCCATGCTCATGTGTGTAGCCACCTCTCATGTATCAGTGCAGCCCAGTTTCCTCAGCACCAAAGTCCATTTTGGAAGCTGATGGATTGAGTGCACTGCCTGCGTTTTCCGTACGCTCCTCGGAAGGAGCACAGTAGTCATAATCCTCCTCTCAAACCAGCTCTTAGATCTGGCTCCCTACCT